TTTCATCAGTCCTTTGAAAAAAAAATGCTGATTAAGGCAATCCGTTGTCTTTTTTTAGTTCCACCTGAGCTGTTTATGTACGTTCTATACATACTGACTACCAAATAATTCATGAATAATGCAAAGATAAGCAATATGTAGTACAACGTGCAAAAAAAGATTCAATATATTTACTAAATATAAAAATAAATATTTTCACTCGTCCATATGGTGCTGTATTTCGTTTATGCATAAAACAGTGATAAAAAAGAAAAAGGAAAAAAGAAAGACAGCACATGAAGTATTTTAAAAATTTTTTACGATCAACTAACGCTTTGAAAAATTACAATAGTTACGATGTATATGGTGATTTAGGCTTCTATAATATAGTTGCTGATATAGCTGCTGATTTACTCAGTTTTCAAAGAACTTATTTTAAACTTTTTTTTTCACTTTAATATTTACAAAGGTAGAAAAAGGGGAACTGAAATGAATAACAATAATGGTGATGTTTGATTAAAAAAAAAAGATTAACCAAGATCTATCCTCGATCACTGTTTTTTTTTTTTTCAAGACTATTTTCATTCATTTCTATCTGTTTGCTTCTTGTTTATCATTTTTATCGTTAAGCATTATTGCCGATGAATGATGAGGAAATGGAAATGCTCTTTTTTTTTTCAAGGGATGAAAACAAATATATTCTTAGTGTTAAGCAAAGATATCAATCATCATCACAGCACAACATTTCAGCTAACAGCTCTATTTTCTCAATACTGTCATCCGTAACCACCGACAAAAACAACCAAAAACAGCTTGCTCCAACAACTAATAACAAAATGAACGGCAAACTGAAAAACAATCATTAGTGTTGTTTAGTATCCCTTTCATTTATCCATTACATCCTAATCTATCAAAAAAAAAAAACTATTTCCTTGTCTAATGCATTTATGTTCTTTTTTTTCCGTTTTTTTTCAGAGTACATTTTCTGTAGCCAAAAGAAAGAGTGATTTTATGCCTCTATCAACAAGCTCCTCTGCTTCACCAGTATTCTGACTATTATCAGTTTGCTGAACGTACTGACCAACTTCAAAAATAAACGAATATACAAATGCATATTACAGTTGAGCAACGAGTAAAACAAAAATAGAAAATTCTCCGTGTATTTGTATTTATATTAAAGCATATGTATATTTATTTGATTAACTCTTCCCCTTTTTTCCCCTTTTGTTGCTGCTGTTGTTGTTGTTGTCATTGTTACTGCTGGCATTGCCGGTATTAGTATCGTTCCCATTTGTTACAGTAACAAAATAAAAGGGAAATTTTGTAATCAAAACTGTTGGTATGTGTGTGAGTTTGTGGACCAAAACATGAGGCAGTGTTTCAGTGAAATCATCGAATTTTTTGAAAAGGCGTACAAAAACTGTGCATGAAAAATTTGGAAGGGTAATCTAGAGGGAAAAAAAGGTGTATTGAGAAGAATGGGGAAATTGGCAGAGGGGGGAGGAAGAGAGAAAAGCAGAAACAAAAATGCTCTATAGACAGATGTCTGCTGTATCAGTTGAATAAATCTCTTATAAGATAAAAATTTGGTTTTTCCCAGGTTCGTTTTTCTTCTTCATAATTTTTTTTTTTGTTAATGCAGTATCATCATTTTTAGAGGGATTTGTTTTTGGTGCCAAAAAAATATAAGATAAGTATAGAGAACAAATAAAAAAAATTGGAGAAAAAAAATTTGAAAGTACAAAACAACAAACAATAACAACAAATTTTGAAGGCTGATTTTGGTTAGCCTTTTTCAAAAATGTGCCCTTCAGTTTTGCCATACACTTTCCACGTGAAAACGTTTGTTCCTATGCTGTTGCATAAATTATGCTAATAAAACAAAAAAGTAGAAAAAAAATTAGAATTTATATTATCTAAACGACTAAAATCTGCCTTTCTCACTTCAAACTAGTCC